GACTACCTAGCTTAGAAAACTTGAACTTAAAAAAAAAGGCAAGTCAACAGGAAAAGCGCTATTTGAGTGCTAAATATTAGTCAGGCAAAATAGAACACGCTTCAGAAGCCAAAGAATCTATGAAATGTGTCCACCTAATAATGTTCCCATAGTCTGGGACATGCAGACATTCACTATGCCACCCCCACAGAGCCCTGCTCAGGAGGGTATTTTTGTATTCCTTATTTTATTTAAGACTCGTGATGCTAAAGAGCTCCTGACAATTATTATTATTGAACACTTTGCTCTTCATCGTTTTACAACATATTTTTTGCATTTTTCTGTATTAAAATGTGGTGCATTTGAATAGCCTGAGTGCCGTTGCCACATGCTGACAGGTGTGGTTCATTCCCAACATTTTAATGAACCAGCTAAGGCCCAGGACCAGAAAGGGGGCAGCAATGCCAGAACCTGCCTATTTTCAGTCCCCAGACAACTCCTCTCAATTAGGCTAGAAGACTTTTAAGTGTCCCCTAACCAACCAATTACAAGGAAAAGAAAAAAAAAAGACTCTAATAGGCACAACCACAGGCCAAGACATTAAATTCACAAGAATAACTGTGTGGTCATTCTTTCATCTTTAGAGAGCTTACCGACAAAAAGTCAAAATTACGAACAGCATCTCAGAAACCTCCCTAACACACTAATTTGGAGACCTAGTTACAAAGAAACGCTGAGAATGTCTCCCAGGAGCGACGTGTGACCCTTGGTCAAATTCAAGTTTACTAAGTCTGACTGTCAATATCAGTGACAGAAGGAGCATCTCTTTCAAGGAGGACTCGGGAAATCAGAAGATACGGACAAAGAAGAAGTGGCTGTCACAGGAGCCTTGAAACTGTTCATGTAAGTCCTCTTTGCCTCCCTGGAGTGAGGCTATTCCCAGGAACTGCAGTGCCAGGAAAATCTTGGAGCTGGGAGTTGAATACACATGGCCAGTCTTACAGAAGAACAGGCAGCTGTCTTCCGAGAAGGGACTTCACCCCACACTGGTTAAGAAGAATAGTGCCCTGCCCCAGCCCCACACATACACCCAGAAATACAGTCCTCCCAAGGCCAACCAGTAGGAAAATTCCTCTGTCAGGTTCACTCAAGTAGAGAAATTGTCCCCAGTTAAAACACAGGCACACGAGTTGGAGTAAAACATTGTCGATTGTTGACACCTCCATTTTCATCAGTGCATCCAATCATTTCTCACCTAAGAGAGGAGGTCTATCAGGGAAAGCAGGGGAGAAGAACAATTCCAAGTACAAGATTAAAAGAGGACAGACACTACAATACCTTGAGGAGGGAGAAGGGCAGCAGAGGACATCGGAACTTCAACAGGGTTCCCAACAGGTGAGCCCTACAGGGGTTAATCTGGGGGCCAGGCACTTGGGAACCTTGAGTTAGAAAAGGCAAAGTCTTTCTCCCAAAATCAGTTCTACTTCCACAGGAGAATGCTTCACAGCAAGTCAGCAGCATAATTAATAAAGAATTCAAAATTTTAGACTAAGATACAAGCAAATACATGTTGCTAATCACGATGGTAGTTTGTCCAAACCTAGAACCCACTGAACCCCAGGTCTGCACCAGTTACACTTTGCAAAACATGATTTCTAATCCACTAGCCTCTCTAGGTAGAATAAGTATTCTCAGGTGAGTTCTCCTATTATAAAGATTAGGACGTTAAGGAAAAACATGTTTCTAGGTAGAGTTTCTCAGAGCATATGCTTGTCTGACTGAAACACCCATTCGCTTTTCTCCCCAACAAGCTTTGCAAAGATTTACAGAAAATAAATAGGTGACATTTCACAACTAAATCATTTCCCAAATTAAATCCACCTCTTTGTCTACTGGAAAATAATGCCTGCTCCTTCCTGTTCCTTTCACAGACACACAAAATTACAGACAATTTTCCACGGATCAATGAAAAGAATGCTCACCCTTGGAGAGTCTCAATGCCCTCCCTCAGAACAAAGGGCTCACTGAAAGGCGGCTGTGCACAATTAGTCAAAGAAGGAATTGCTTCACTTGTTACCACCCTCCTTTAGCCTCAAGAGAGGGCTAGTGAGGAAAAAACCAAAAGGCAGCTGAGTAAGGGAGATGAGGAAGAGAAACCCAGCTTTGGAAATGCACACCAGGGTCACGGAACTCTGGAAGGGATGCATGTTAGAAGCCCCAAAACACACACTTTTTTTGCATAAAATTTCAAGAGGTTCATGAACCGTCTGGCACCCATTCATGGACCCCAGAACTCCTGGCCTAAATTTCTGGAACTTACTCCACAACATACTTGCCCACAGAGATGTATGTATTAAAATGCTCTCTACCACATTCTTCATAGAAGCAAAAAATTGTAAACAACCCAAGGACCATCAAGAGGGGATTAATTAGGTACGATCATGACCACGACGAATGGGAAGAATGAACAAGTGCCCCAGGAAACCAAGGCCAAAATGTGTCCTTAGATGAAAAACACCAAGTCCAGAACCGGTCACGTATGACTGTAGAAACACAGAATTCCTGAAAGGATACACAAGAAACTAGAAAAGTGTTTGTGCCTGAGATGAAGGCCTGGGTCATAAAGGATTTGGAAGAAAAATTACTTCTAAATCTTTAATCCAGGTTACTACGTTCTTAATTAAAAGAAAGCTAGTTGGAGACAGATAAATTGTTGAAGAGAAAAAAGAGACAGAGAGGATGATCATTTCAAAAGAACTTCTCCTCTAGCTGAATCCCAAAATATCCTCAGCCTTGAGAATAGTTGATACTGTAAAACATTTGGCACTAAGACATAAATAGGAAAGTATCTCATAAATTCTTTTCGCAGCTCGGGCTGCTGCTCAGAGCAGCTGAACCTTCTCTCCACAGTGTGGCTTTCCAGGCTTTTCCCCTTGCTGGACCAATTATGGGACATTATAGCAGCAGCGCCAATATTATGTTTAAAGGCCATATTATTCACTAAATACCCATTAAACCAATCTCCTTGTTCCATTTACAGTGAGCTTAAGGGCAATCCAGATGGTACAAATAACGCATATTCAGGTCTGATATGCATGAGGCCAGCCATCAAATAGCCATTATCAGCTTTAGATTCGTCAACTGCCTGACACCCGCAGGTGTGTCCAGGTGAGAAGAATAGCAACCTTTCCAGAGACAGCTGGGCTCTCAGTCTCTGCACACCATCTCCATGCTCCCCCAAGGGCTGCGTCTGCCTTTGCATCTGATCAGTTAGCAACACCGACAGAGGGTTGCTTGGTAGCCCGGTAACAAGCTGTGCCTAGGTGTTCCCGTGCAGAGGACAGGACTGCATCTCCCTCCCACTCAGCCCACTCAGCGCTTCCCCCTGGGTTGGCCAAGAAGATCCAGCAGCCCCAGGAGGCTCCCCTGCAAAGCTAACGCCCACTGGCCCTGCATCTCCAGGGCCCCGTTGGAAAAAGTCTATCAAAGGGGTCTCCCTGTTTACCTTTTTTGACCGACAGGAACTAAACTATCCCCCTGTGACCTTGAAGATTTTAAAAAATGGGATAGACTAAAGCCTGGCCAACTTTTTCAATCTAGACAAGCACAGAATCAGGACTGTTAAAGTCTTCAAGGGGACACCCAGGGACACTGGCCCAGTATAGCTGGTGAGAACCGACAGACAGCTTTCAGTCCCTGTGGTCCCATGACATGGCATGAAAAATGACAACCATCCTGGCCACCAGCCAGTTCCTGACTCTCCACTAAACGGAGAACAGCACATGATACTGAAGTCATTCTGATGAGCGTGTCAGAGACAAGAGAGACTGGAGGCAGGGGGCAAACTTTTTTCATGCCAACCCTCTATTACTTGAGCTCATGTTAGATGAATTTTTATTTCCTGATTATATCCCATGTAGGAAGTTGTGGGAGGTGGTGAGGATTAACCCAAGTGGAGAAGATATCTGAGTTCTCCATGAATAATTCATGCAGGACATAATCTGAACACAGATAATTGAGAACTGGCTGTGCCATCACTGTCACTTTAATACACTGATGTTCCCCAGGGTCTAGAGACCATCCCAGCCTACATGTGGTGGGAATATCAAATTACAATGCCAGCTCAGGAATGTGAAGGGACTGTCTTCCCTGAAATCACTAACCAGTCACCAATCTGTTTCTCCCAATTCACTCAAGAGAGCGTTGTGTCGCAGGGAGGAGGCCCCCCAGTCTCAACATCACCGGCACAGTGCTGGTTCCTAAGCCCACAGCCCCGAGAAGAAGTGGGGAGGGCAGGGAACAAACGATTCCCAGTATGGGTCTTAAGTAAATTCAAAGGGAAAGAAAGGCAGACACCTCTCCCCATGCCAAGCGGCCCGTAAATTGGCCAAATGCCCTAAGTGAACGATGCCTGGGCAAGGAGGGGGGTCTTATGTGGAAATCGGAACGCAACATAATCCTTCCAATACACCTCCCACTCCTCCAGGGGCAAAAGCCCCACCTGCCCCTCCTCAGAGACTTAGCGACTGCTATCTGACTCTTCTGAAGGGACGCACTCCCTCCAGGTTCAGAGAAAAGGCATGACCTTGCTGTCATTGTTTTGAGGTTTTCTGGCTTCAAACTGAACCAGTGAGAGAAACATCCACAGTTTCCTAGATGAATCAAAAAGATGAAAGGCACATACATGGAAAGGAATATTCGGGGTCCACTGGAGAGGAGAGGAGGCAGAGGGACACACGCCCATACACTCTAACCCAAATCAGAGGGTCCTTGCCCACCTGTCCAAGTTGGAAAGACAGACAAAAGGCACTGTTACCTGCTGCGCAAGAGGTAGGTACTGTGGAGAGCAAATAAGAGAAGGCGGCCTGGGGCCAGCTTCCAGGTCAGTCATGTGCCAAAGTGGGGTAGGTAATTTGCAGAGACAGGACAGAGCACCTGGCATTTCCCTCGGTATCCCTCCGACCACCAGGCCCCAGTCTGTCCTGTCTCACTCAGCCCTGGGTCTGCGGCAGGGAGCTTGCCTGAAAGAAGCCCAGCTCTACCTATCCGGATGGAAAGTTCACTCTCAGGGAAGAGCAGCCTGGGACCCTCAGCATCAGACTTCTTCATCAACGCAGGGTCGAAATTGAGTGCCAGGGCCGTCTGGGGGTCTTCTGCACCCTGAAACAAGAAGCAGTGGCGTCACTGTAACACCTCTACTACCTTCAGTGCCCCGACCCCTGCTGCTCACAGCTGCCCAGGCCACTTGCCAATCTCTACCAAGAGCACCACAGTTGGGCCAGTTCTGGGCCAGATCCAACAGTCAGGCCAGGCTGGGTCACTAGGAAGACGGCAAGCTTTCTGGTTGCAGAGCTTCTAGGGTGACAAAAATGGGACCTGGGGAGTCGGCACTGATGCCAAAAATGGGAAAAACACATTCAAGGAGAGATGAGGCCCGCGCATCAGCACCTGGCGCTATGCTCCATCACCTCAGGACAAAGGGCACAGCGGACTCCTTCCTGAACTGAGAAAAGCACCTGTATGGCAGGAGCGCCCCCAGGGCAGCCTCAGTATGGGAACCAAGATCAACGCTTTTAGGAATTCGTCACCTTCACATTTCTCACAAGATCAGAAGGGGAGGATATTCAAACCACAGCACCTCAAAGGAAGGAAACTGAGTCTCAGAGGACACGTATTTGGACTGCAGTCCAGAGGGCCTTCCAACAACACATCACCCCTCTGCTTTGTCTGGAACTAGTTACTACAACTGCTTCTGCATTAACTAAGCAAAGCGTTTATTTTGATCCCCATGTTTAGTGAACACACATTTACTGACTGCCAACTCTCTGGATACTAGGTGAGCAAGACAAAGCCCCAGCACTGATGGAGCTGAAGTTCCGGGTAAGAGCGAAGAAGTGACTCCAGGATGGGGCCGTGAGCTTCCCTCCCAAAGGCGTCAGTCAGTGGGAACCCTCAACCCTGACGACACCTTACAAATGCCCAGGACCCCAAGGGGAGTAAGGAAGTCCGGAGAACCCACCAACACAAACACCTAGAAGCTAAGGGAAGGTGAGCAGAATCATCTTGATAAGAAAAAGCATGTATTTTTTTAAAACCAGGCCAAAACAGTCCCAAACAAACAAAAGTTTTCATTTAAAATTTGTGTAATATAGGAGAGAAGACTATGGTCCGATCTCTGAAATGCATCTATTCATAAGGAAATACTAAAACTCTCTTCTTGGGTAGGTTTCTTTCATGAAGGAATCCCACAAAAGTTACGCCTGCTGTGTTTTTATACACACACACACACACACACACACACACACCTTATATTCTTATTGATCAGGGATCAGAAAAAGAATCTAATGGGTCAGATATTTTATTTCATTATTTCTTTCCAACACATTGTTGAAATGAAAACATAAACTTTTCTTCTCACATCTTCACATTTGTCCAGTACGTCAATACTGTCCCAATCACTCGCTTGCAACGTCATCTGTAATGCTCTGTAATAAGATGCGCACACCTCATTTAACCTCGTTTTAAAGAGAGGTCAGCCCTCGTGGCTCTGTTCAAGTCACCTTGTGTAAGTTCTCAGGCCCCCTGCAGAATCCCAGGGGCTGCAGGACGTCACCTGCTCTGTCACTGGGAGAAACACAGAAAGGCCACCTGTCACACTGCATCACAGTCAAGGCTGACACTCCAGATGGATAGAGTCCCGGAGACAGAAGGGACTTCGAGAAGGCCAGTCTCTCCCCCTGAGAAGCCCCTTCTCACCATATCCCTGAGTGACAGCTGGTGTCTGTGCCATGTGCCATGAGCCCCAGAGTCGTAGCTTTGTTTGTTTATGTACTTTAATTATTTCTAAGTCCGCATCTCATGCTGACATCTGAGGAATCATTGCAGCAATAAAGACATGTTTTGCTACAAGAGTGTGTCAGCTGCTTTTCCTCTCTTTGTCTCCCTTCTTTTTATAATGTGAGTGATGCATAACTGGGGGAAGGATCAGGAAAAGAACCACTTCATTAGAGCAGAAATGCAGCAGCATTAATATGCTCAAAGATGCTTATTTGACTGGAGCCCATTTAGTACAGCACAGCTTGGAGAAACCCTGGTTTTACTGAGAATGATGATTTTCAACAGGGGTGATTCTGTCCCCGCAGCCTCAGCCCCAGGGACCTTTGGCAATGGGCATTTTTGTATGTGGGGTTTGGGGGGAAGGGTGCTGGCATCTGGTGGGTAGAAGCTAGGGAAGCTCCTAAACATCCTCTGGGGCACAGACAAGCCCCGCAACAAAGAATGATCTGGCCAAATGTCAATAGTGCCAAGGCTGGGAAACCTGCTTTAGAAAGATTTAGGATGATCAGGCCCCAAAGCTCCCTGCGTTACTGGTAATTCTGAGACTTACAGACCCTCTTGTGCTATAAAGATAAACATTTTGCTACTTTCCCTTGGAAGCCTACTGGCCTTCATGTATTCGGCAAATTCTTGTTTAGCATCAACTGTCTACCAGAACTATTTCAGGCTCTGGAGATACACAATAGCCAAGCCCCTGGTCCTCATCAATCATGCATTCTCCTTCCAGAGACAATCAACTCTCAATACTGAGTGAAACAGAGTGCCAGGTAGTGATAATGTTAAGAAGAAAAATAAGCCACAGTTCTCACAGCCGTCCTAGTTTGACAGTAACACGCACTGGGTTCTAGCCCTGTGCCAGGCATGGGTCTAGCATTTTTTGTGTGCTAGCTCTTTACGAAATGGAAAGATGGGATGCTCCTTCAGATGAGATGCTCAGGGAGGCCTTTCTGCAAGGGTAGTGTCTAATGAAGACTTGAAAATGAGGGGAAAAGCCACGCTAATTTCTTAGGACAATGTTTCAGGCAAGAAACAGCAGGGCATGCCTCCCCCTTCCCCACGATATCCTGTGACCATTTTATCAATCTTTTCATTTTATCTCTCTATATTCTGCTGGGTGTATTGCGTTATTTCAGTGCAGGGGGGTGGGGGTACTGAGGAAATACCTCCCAGCTTCACTTAGAAGCTGCCCTTTTAAAAGCCAGACAAGGCCGAGCATGCCTGCCCGAACCCACCCCTCCTATAGCTCGAGCCCAGAGTGGGCCTTCAGAAGGAGAGGTGCCAAGGAGAGCTTCCCCTAAGCCCCGTGCCTGGCACCATTGTCCACATGTCCCTGAGCCCAGCACCGGCTGGCCTCCCAGGGCTCCCTTCCAAATCCCTTCTGGGGTTCCCGACACCCCCACCCAACACTTTCAACTGCTGATGAAAACAGAGAAACCTGTCCCTTGAAATTTCAAAGAACAGCCCCTGTGGGAGATGCCAACCCCGCTTTGATGGCTTTACCATAATGTCCAGGAAGGTGAGAGAAAAATCAGGAGGCTCCTACTTGGCCAAAGGGGCTCTCATCCTGCAGGGCTACAGCACCCCTGGCTCCACGGGGCCCCGTCTGTCCCCCGAGGGCAAGCACAGAGATGGCAGTGAGGAGGCACTGCCTCAAATAAACACGGCCTTGGCCGGGGTGGGAGTGACCTCGAGCCCGGGGAGAAATCCCTGCTCTCCATCGCCTCTGGCTTTGCTGACGACAGCACACCCCTCTTTCCTTGACGTTATCGCTCTTACATTTCGGGGGCCTCTTAAAAAAATCTCTGCAAGCTTTGCATTCACACTACTTCACTCCTTGCAGCCCTGTGAGGACGGCGAGGTGAGAGCTTGAGCTCTCAGGGCAAACATTTGACTAAGGCAAGCTGTTCCCAACTCTCCACCTCAGCCCTGAGAGCCTGGCAGCTGCCCCCCAGCAGGACCCCGAGTCGCTCTTCTCGCTCTGGCAGCTTCAGCCGGGCTCCTGGGGCTTTGGAGAGTTGAGGGCTGCTGTGTCACCTTACAGCTACTACATGTCAAGGTGCCCAATGTCCAGACTCCCTCCCAGGCTCTCAGACTCCCTTTCCTCCTGTCTCTTCCCCTCCCTGAGGTCCTTTCCCCACCCTGTTCCCCCATCCCTGCCGATGCCTCCAAACCCAGCTCAGTGCAAAGCGGTGGGGAGGCAGGGGGACTGCTGGGAGGCACCTGGCAACCCACCCATCCAGGACCACGGAACTTGAGATCCCTGTCTTCCTATGACAGTATTATTATTATTATTATTATTAATGGTTTGGGGCAAGTCCCTGGCTCAGAATAAACAGAGCAATTTCTGCCCACTCTAGAAAGGCCTGCAAAGAGGCAGGAGCTGGAGAACAATTGGCATTTTCCAGAAGGAAAGAGAGAGAGAGGAGAAAAAGAGAAAGGAGGAGGGAATAAAATGAGGGGGGATGGGCAGGGGGAGGGAAAGCGGCCCTGAGATACACCTCCCTTGGAAACAAAAAGGCGTTGGAAAATAACCTGTGCATTTCCTTCAAGAAATAAAATCCAGGTACTGTTTCCCAGGGTTTGCTGCCCCAGGCACGTAGCGGACAGCTGCTGGTTACTGATGTTTCTAGAGCCCCAAAGAAGCAAGTCAGAAAAGGAAAAGCCTAGAATGTAACCGACAGGATGCAGTACCTCCAGATGAAGTTGCTAATGGCAAAGGAAAGCCCCCCATGCAAAGCACACTGGGTAAATGCCATCCAGCACCAAAGCTCCCCCTGTAGCCCCCCAAACTCCCTGCAAGCAACTTGATGCGCTGCTCTGAGCCCCAAGAGTAGCCTCACCTGTCTCTGGTTCTTCCCCCATTGGGATGTGTCATCACTACTAACAAGTGTCAGGAGAAGGTGAGCAGCCGGACCTCTGACCCTGGGCATGCCTCCTGTGGTGCTGACTCGGGCTGGGGGAGCCCTGGTCACTCTGCGCCTCCCTGGCCCCACAGGGCAGTCTCTCATTGGGTTTGTCAGCGGGTCAAAACTCCCTGATAAAGGGCAGAGGGAAAGGTCAGAGGATTGATTGCTTCCCCCTTCCAGCTACAGATAAAAGTGAGGCTGGCGTTCAGGGCGCACGGATGCTGGGGAGGGGACTTGGAGGCCTGTGTGAGCTTTGCCTCCTCCCCGACCCCGGCCTCTGCCTCCTGCCATCCCCACTTACCCAAACACACAGGTGATGTCAAATAACAGATGCTGGTTTTATTACTGAGAAATTGTTATAATAACGACACTCATAATGCAATCTTAAATTATTCCACATAATGAAAAAAAAATTAA